GCGGAGCTTCTTTGTCTAAGTAAGATAAAATTTAGTAAGATAAAACAAAATAGTAATGACTTATACAGTAAAAATTCTGTGGTTCACCTGAGGATGAGTGTTGGCTCACTAGAACAAGGGATCCCCACTCCTGAATTAAAGCTGTCAGTCCTATCCCTTCTGCAGGTGCATACAGAGCAATGCCCAGTTCTGCAATCACACAGTGGTATATAAACTTAAGAGGGCAAGACAATACATTATAAAACAAATTAGTAGTTTATTTGTTTGGACAGCCACAGTTTCTGTTTAGTTATTTAGGAAATACTGCATCATTTACTGGAATAAGGCATCACTGCCACTTAGGCTGTTAAGGTTTAGTCTCAATGAGATTCGTGGGTTGCTGTGGGTAGGTGCCTATGATAAGGTGCAGAAATTGATGTGTATCGTTTTTCTGTTGTCTAGTATTGTGCTGTTCACATCTGTATGGAGGAATTATGTGCAGTACCACAACATCAAATGTATCTTGAATATGACTAACATTATCTGACTTTGTTGGTGATTCTTTCCTGTTGAGTGATCATATCTACCTGCCTGGGTAACGGATTGAAAGTACTGCTCGGTCCTTTTGCTTAAATGAATAGATACTTTCAGTGATCCTAACTCATTTAGAAGACGATAATTTGTCTTGTATTGTCTCAGGAGAGTATTTTTGGCTTGTACTGGGCACTAACCAGCTTCTGTCTTTTGAGAATCTGGTAGAACTACCAGATGAGTCATACATCATCGCAGGGAGAATGGCCAACTAGCAGCTAAAAAAAAAAATTAGCTGCCCAATTCGTTTCTTCTGCCTCTCACTGTCACTGCAAAAATAAATAAAAGGGGATGCATATAAACTAAGCCTCTAATCTCCAAGAAGAGAGCCCTGCCTTGGGATTGCACTGGTGTATTCTGACCTCACTGCCCGAACAGCTCTGCTGTTTGTGTCCAGGTCACAGCTTGATCTATAGAAGAATGCCAGGTTCCTCTTGATTTTCCCATAACATGTTACAGGCTGGAACAGTGCAGAATTTGCTGCTGAAGCAACTAAGGAACCTTGCGGGTGGATTGGGGACCTCCAAAAGAAGCAGCTGAGGGTAGGAACCACTGGGGCATTTACAACCAACAGTGGGAGAACTGGAGAGGAGAAGCATTAGCTGCACTGTGAAGACCTGGGAGAAATTTAAAAGGCAGAGAGAAAAATATTGGTAGGATTTTTAAGGCTTGCTTAGTACATGTATGTGGGAGAGACTGTTTAGGGCTGTTTTTGACACCTTGCTGGTCACTCAGAACAGTCTATTACCTGCTTTAAAGGAAAGCAAACTTACTTTTCGACAGGCAGGTGGAGGGACATACATGTGTTTAAAGGGACAGTATATGTAAGCTTGGAAAATGGAGCATGTGTCGTTTGGGCTATTTAAAGACACATTCCAGAAGAGATAAACACCTACGGTGGTTAAATTACTGTATGAAATCCAGGGATAAGACATTAGAAAGGTAAGAGAAACTTCAGAACATCTGCTCTATCCCTCAGGCCAAGGTAGCATGACTGAGACAGTTTGGTGTGCAGTCCTGGCTAGAAATATCACAGTAGCAGCTACTGTAGCAGAAATATACAATTCTTATCTTACTTGGGATACAGAGTTATTTGAGAATGAGGAGAGGATAAATTAGCCCTGTATTTTGGACTCTTGCAGAAGAGCTGTGTAGCATATGTGCTATTAGTTCCTGGAACTTTAAAGTAAGATTTGCTCAATTTATTTACAGCCTTCCCAGTCCCTATGAAATTAACTGGTAAGATAACTGGAAGCAGAAGGGCCAGATGCCTCCTCTACACAGGCTGCGTGGCTTTGACTCAGCTCTTGGTGTTCAACATTCTTCTTTGTGGAGTTGCTTCTGATAACATCTGGGTTGTTAGCCCTACTTTTAAGTGAGGGTAGAACATATTTTGATGAGTGCTACTGAATCACAATAGCCTACATGACATGGTTTTACTTTCACTAGGTAATGAATGGTTTTGCTCTCTCCTACATATTCAGTGTGTGAAGGTTCATTCCAACACATACTCACAGCTTGCCTGAGTTTTCTTAATTGAAGAACACCCCATGCAAAAAGTCATTTAGGACTCTAACAGATGCATTGCTTTATTTAGGCAAAAGCAGTCTTGTTATCTGTCCTTTTGCAGCTGATGTGAAAGCTCTGAATGGAGCACTGGCATTATCTGTTTGACAATGATTTGATGCAATACTACACAATGCTATAAATTAATGTCAAGAAGCAAAATACTAATGATAGGGGCCCTTCTATGCACTGGTGACTTAAATAGCATATTTCTTTAAAATTCAACAGTGACTCACTCTTGTTTAAATAAAAGCCCTCTGAGCTATTTAAATAATGCCATGTAGCTCTAGTGCGTATTTCCTTTGATTCTTAGTACTTCAGTGTTTACTTGAATAACTATCCAAACAAGCTTTTGAGCATTTTACTGAATAATACTTTGAAACATATTACTTTGTGAAACAAGATTTTTTAAAAGAAACGTTTGAATATGAAGTGAAATGGTCAGACTCGTGTTTGCTGATGCCCTACAGTAAGCCGAAAGAGGGTTTCTGTTCTTTCTTGGAGACGATGTCAGACACAGGTGAAGACCTGAGCAGCATTTTAAATTTACTCTGAACATTTCAGGAGTCTGTTTTGTTTTCTTTCGTGCAAACAAATAGGCACTGATTAGAGAGAATTGCCCGTGATCAATGGAATCAATTTCCAGACCCTTCAGGCACACACTGACTGAGCACTGCTAAACTCACTGACACCATCACAGTTTAACCAGCTGAAGATTCAGACACATGCATTAGCAGTGTCTTTTTTGTTGCAGTTGTATGTGTTGATGAACACTGCTGATGATGTAAGTTTTTCTCCAAGTTTCAAATGAAATGTTCCAGTTCCTTATATCTAGGTAAATATGTCAATATATCAGCTTTGTGCTGGCTTTTTAATTGCTACACATACATATCGGGCACTCTCAATGCTCCTCAGGATTGAAGACATTTCCAAAACAGTGCTATTGAAAAAGAAGTAATTGTTGATGATGATCTATTACATTCTGCTAATAACTCTCTGCCGCAGGTGTTATCTACACATCGAGGGATATAAAGAAATGGAAACCGAGTCCTCAAAAAGAAAGAAAATCCACCTTGTCTTTTAGGATATTTAATAGCAGGGTACACTCCTTACGTTTCAGAATGAAACAAAGATTTTAGAGCAATACTTTTCAAACCTGGGCCTTATCAGATGGCAAACAAATCCTTCCTAAGCCCAAGATTTTCCTGTCATCTACAACTTAATCTTGTTAAGTAAAAAAGTTGTGAGATGACAAATGAGCTCTGCAGCAAAAGTGAAGGAAAAAGAGGAAGAGTGCCCTCCTATTGAGGATATATTATGAAGAATGCCTCTTTTAGCTGGCCTAGAAGTTGTTATAGGGCTTTTAACCTGAACACCTCAGGTCATTCAGGCATACAGACAGAGGCTGTAGAAAGGGACATTTTAAGTAACCATCACTTAAGCTGATAAAGGATTTCTCATTTTAAAGTAGCATACTACTCTTCACCTGGAAAGGAACTAGAAAATACCATCATTAACTGATTATAAGTATAAAATATCTTGTAATAGACTGGCCATTTCTGTACCAATTCAAAGTCACTGAAAGAGAAGCATTAGTAATAATCTGACAGAAACAAATCATCACTTTGGCATAATCTCTCCTGCAGGTATTACTAATAAAACCTCCCCTCAAGTTTAAATTGTGATTCACACAAAAATGGAAGTATAAATTGTCCTCATTCCATGCCAACTCCAGTTATGAACAATGCCATGTCTGGAAATACTCATATTATGAATCCTAAAATTCATGTGTGTTTCCATGAAGAGGAAAATATAGCTACTTGTCACTTTCAGGGTAAACATATATAGTAGAGTAATGACAAAACTGTTTCTCTCCACTTTCATATAGGCAGAATTCTTTGTTTATGCCAGCAGTTAAATAACCCAAATCATCCCCATAGCACCCATAACAAAAGTGAAAGGAATCAAAAGATAAAAACGAACCACTGGGCTGGCTGCACTTCTACCTGCTCTGTCTATGAAGCAGGACAGTATTTCCACTCCAAAGCTCTCCTTTCTCTTTAGTGTTCACTTACTGTAATTCTTATACACTGAATATGCAAGTTGTCTTCATGATCACTGAATTCAAATAATTCCTTGGGAAGAAACAAAGAAATATCTCACAAGAGAGTATCTGTTCAATGACAGGAAGGGTAGCAAGAGTGGGACCTATGAGCATCGGAATTTGATAGGGTTAGGAGGATGAATACAGAAAATATTAAGAAAGGTAAAGAAGAGAAGATAGGTGAGGACAAAAAGAAAGAAAGCAGGAAGAGATAACAGAAGAAAGGAAAATCAAGGGAAAGGAGGTAAAAGGTATAACAGAGGAGTCATATGAAGCAAATCCTCAGATGCCTGAGAGTGACTGCTCACAATGCCACTTGTGTTTATTACTCCACCTTGATTATGAAGCAATAGCAGCAATCCTGTTGTCTTACGCTGTGACTAAAGGCAAAATACAGACACTATGCAATTCATTTAAAGGAAAGAGATTGTAAATGTGTGCATTCAGGACAAGGCAATGAGTTATATTTCTTGTTCTGTTGGGTTTTTTTCTCCTAAGATCTTGCTTCCTTCCCTGCATTAAGAGTACCATTGACACAGCCAGTACTTCCAGCCTTGTAATTGTTTGCCCATTGCTCTGTCCCCTGTTTTTGCACAGCGTTTTGACTAAAACAAACATAAAACCGTTACAGATGTGGGAGAGAGGACTCACTCCTCTCCCAGTGCAGAGGCAAATGGAATTAATCTATTTCCCTTCCACTATTAGTAACTCTCAGAAGATCGTCATTGCTTCCCCACAGCACCACATTAGCAAACTTTACCTAAGGGTTTCACCAGATGATCCCCTTCTTTTCCACAGGTTCACCAGGCTGCTTGAGCGGCTTGCAGCTGAAGAAGATTTTCCATCCCCTACGTGCATGCGGACCACAGTTGATGTGGTGAATGCGCTGCGTACATTCCTTTCAGGCTTAGCAAGGATGATATAGACCTTGGGCACAAACATACAGCCGAGGGCCACTGTGGCACTCAGACTAACTGAGAAACACATGGTAATTATCTTGTAGTTGCTTCCAAAATATATTGGCACAAAAGCCAGCCAAATGATGCAGGTGGTATACATTGTAAAGGCAATATACTTTGCTTCATTGAAATTAGCTGGGACATTTCTTGTCTTAAATGCATAAAAGGTGCAACTCAAAATTAATAATCCATTATATCCAAGGGGAGTTACAACACCCAAGTTAGTGGTGTTACAAATCAGGTAGACCTCTCGGATGCTTGGGTAATCATGCATTATATCTGGTGGCTCCATTATAAAGAGGGCAACAATTATGCCTAATTGTATACATATCAAGATAAATGCAATAACTAGTTGGGCGCAGGCACTCATGAATCGAGGTTTCTTTGTACAAATTTTCTTCTTGCTTCCAGCCAGGATTCTTGCAATGCGGTTGGTTTTAGTTACTAGAGCAGAATAACTCATAGCTGGGGAGAGGCCGATGCCAATTCGTTGCAGATAACAGTAAATCTGTTGAGGTTTTGCGATGAGACAGAAAGTGCACAAGTAACCCAAGCAGATGCCAGCTAGAATGATGTAGCAAAGTTCTCGGCTGGATGATTTGACCACTGGAGTATCACGGTACATTATGAATATAGCTGTAACAAACAAGGTGGCCAGCAGACCCAGACATGCAAAAACAACTGCTGCAATTGGTTCAGGATCACCCCATCTGAGATACTGGACTGGGATGAGGTCACAACCTACAGAAAAAGACAAAAAGAAGGTAAATTGAAGTATGTAGGAGTGAGATCTTTTAACGATATAGTTACAGATCTTCCTGATATTTTTCCTTTTGTGTTTCAAGAAGGTGCCATTATAATAAGTGTAGGCTAAGATTATGTTAATTTAATGGCACAATAAATATATTTCAGAGACAGCTTATTTCTGTACTACACTTTATCTGGAATAGAACATGATGACTGAAAAAATGGCCAAGATGGTTAAGAGAAGTTTCCTCTCACAGTGGAATTTTCCTTTTAAATTCTTTTAAATATAGTAATTTATTAACAAATTTCAGAATCAAGTTTGCACCTCAGGGCAAAGTGCTTCAGAGTTGTCTGCATATTATATGCACCTAAAGGACCAGATCTCACCCCTACTCATTATATTGTTTACTATGAAAAATATTGGTACTTGTTTAATGAGTATGGAGAGGAATCGTACAGATTCTAGCTGTCAAGAGAGTGCTTCTTTCTCAGATGTGCTACCTTTTTTTCTCACAAAAATTTTCTAGGATCAGAGATGCAGATAATAGGTAATTTGGGATGGCACACCCTGCTCACTTCTTTATCTGCCATTCATCCTTTTGAGACTTCTGAGGAATTAAAACATCATCTAACTCATAAAATCAAACTGACTTCAATAAATTAGTGTCAAAGCTGAATTAGCAGTGCAACTCATCTAAGGGCACTTGTTTTTCAGTCTATATATAGGTCTTAATAAGTCATTCTATGTAAGCAGGTCATAGGAAGTCAAAGAAGCTTTCATTCCACAGTGTGCAGATCAATGGACAGGAATAAAAGCTGGTAGAAAACTTCTTGCTGGCATCCCTCCTCCATTCCTCCATTCTTTTTTACTGGAAAGCCTGGATAGGTGTGTTGGGTTGACCTTGGCTGAATGCCAGGTGCCCACCAAGGTACTCTGTCACTCCCCTTCTCAGCAGGATGGGGAGAGAGGAGAAAATAAGATGGAAAAACTCATGGGTCAAAATAAAGGCAGTTTAATAAAGAAAAAGCAAAAGCCGTGCATGGAAGCAAAGGAAAACAAAAGATTTATTCTCTACTTCCCATCAGCAGGAGATGTCCAGCCACTTCCCTGGAAGCAGGGCTTCAGTACATGTAGCAAGTGCTCCGGAAGACAAGCACTGTAACAACGAGTGTCCCCCTGCCTTCTCCTCCTTTCTTTTAGCTTTTATTGCTGACCAGATGTCATATGGTATGGAATATCCCTTTGGATAGTTTGATTCAGTTGTCCTGTGTATGTCCTCTCCTAAGATCTTGCCCACTCCCAGCCTACTGGTGAGGGGGGAATGTTGGTGAGACAGCCTTAATGATGCTGTGTGAGCACTGCTCAGCAGTAGTCAAAATGCTAGTGTGTTATCAACACCTTTCCAGCACTATGAGGGCTGCTACAGGGAAAATTAACTCCATCTGAGCCAGACCCAGTACAACAGGAATAAGAGGAGAGGACCTTGATGCTTTGGAGTGTAACTTCTTGACAATAGTAGACACGCTGGCACTGCCAGCCAGAGCAGCACAGCTGGAAGGAGATGATGGAGCAGAGGGAATGCAACTAAAAGCTTTTATTTCCCCTGTACTTGTATTAAACCTGACTAATCTTGACTGCAAAATCTAAATTACCTCCAAAGTTAGGATCATTGTAATCAGGTTGCTGTCTTCTGATTATGAGAGACAGAAGAGTGCCAGCTTGACTCAGGGTGGGTTGTGGCAAGGCACTTCACCCTTCGTGTCAGGTGCTCACATCTGTATTTTCAGCAGTGAGGATAATTAGCACTGGCTGATGGGCATCTCAATGTCAAGCAAACCCAATTAATTAGGGAACCTGGGACCTCAATGACTTGATGAACAGGAGTAAATGTAGATATCAGGACTATAATTTGGGAATTTCTACATGCAAGATCTACTTTTTGTCTTTTCCCTTTATTTTAAGTGGACCTTAAAGTTTTTCCAAACCTGCCACTGACATTCTTAGTAGTAAAAGTCATTTCATGAAATGGTATGAGTGGATATTAGGCTTAGTGCCTCTCTTCTCCCAATATTTCTGTATTTTATATCTCTACACAATTAATATTATCAAAAATATAATACTTACAATAAGGTGATATACTCAATAGATTGTGTGGCATAAGTACAAGGCAGATAGTTCTGTATTCTTGCGGAAAGCAGAAAAATCAGAAGGATTAGGGTCAACAAGTCTTCCAACACCAGTGCAGTTAAAGGATACAAATTTGAAGTCACTCCAGTGACTTATGCTCTTGGTTACAAAACACAGATTAATTTGCCATCCATATTTTAATTGCTTTGGAGCGCAACACTTTCTGTTGCAATAATAAGATTGTTGCCACACCTTATTGTAACGAAGACATTTAGATTTTTATGAAACATTCTCGTAGCTTTAGTTGATGACACCAATTTGACTCTTGTTGACTTTAAAGGGTTTACTTATTCATTGTGAGGGAGACATTGTATTTCATTCTGATTTCTTCAAGATTAACATAGCACAGGTATCATACCATTAAAATCAATGGTTTATACCAGTGAGAGTGGTTGAAGAAGGGTGAAAACCAGAAAGCACACTCTGGTGTGTGCAGATATCCTCAAGAAGTTTCATGAGTAAGTGACCTGTAAATTGATTTCCGATTTTACCAAAATTTAATTAATGTTTTGAGGAAACAAATTGTTACCAGCTTCTAATACTACTGTATATTCTTGGACAGGAAATTTGAAGAGAAAAGGTCTTTATCTGACAGCTGGCCTTTACATGCAGACAATGATATAGGGGCTGAATTTTGCTCACTTTCTAATTTTGCAGCAGAAGTGAATCATAACCAAGCATTTGTCATTAGTTTCAGTCTATTTCATGCCTTCCTTGCTTTATTACTCTTTTTACCTTCTCTTAATAAAATACCTGAGAAAAGAGTTGAAAACTTGTCCAATTTTTTTCCCTCATCACTGGGTATACTTTACAAGGAGAATGTGAAACTATGCAATGATTTATTCCTCAATTAAGATTTAAGGACTGGATAGTCTTCATAAAGCAATGATTGGTGAGGTTTTCATATAATAGCTTTGCAGCTAATGGTTTCTGAGAATGACACTTTGCAGAAAGGGACAACAAGATCAAGTAAAAGAAATATGGAAAAACAGCACTGTGAGTGTTCAGGTTAGGTTGATGGCCAGCATTATACTAAGGCAAAAGACGAAAAATGGTAACGCAAGAAGAACTCATTCCTATCCTCTAAATACGTGTATGCTCAATGGTCATTTGGACAAGATCCTGCCCCACAGCCCACCTCTTACACTTTGTCAACATCTCCAAGCACCTGGAAAGTCTTTTCTCCTAGCTGGCTCAGAAACTCCAGGTGGAACAGAGCCATCAGCCTTGTCTTGTGGTCCCTGAAGGGTGCTGAGGCAATCTTTGGCTTGTGGAAAGGCTGTTAGGAGGAAGTCCAATTTGGAGCAGGTGTAGCGTTGTTCTACTCTGTGCTGAAGAGTGCACTGTTTCTGGGACCAGAGCCTCAGTAAAATTGACATGAAACTGCCTGTATGTTCTTCTGGCCAGAAACGTGGCCAGTAGGAGCAAGGTACTCGATACACATGTGAATAGCAAGACAAGCAGATATAAAAAAATCAGAGTTCCGTTTCACACACCACAGAAAAGTTTTCTGAAAGGAGCATCAAAAATCACCAACAAATTACAGATAAGGATGTATAAGGATCTTCTGGGGAGAAAAAAATGTTCTGATATTTTGGAAAAACGTCTGGCTACTTCAGGGATGGGCTAAATTGTGCCATAAACAAGAAGAGAAGCTCCTGAAGGCTTGACTACTGCCATAGGTCTATCTATACCCTGTGCTCTCTCTGAAGGGGTAAACTTGTTACTTATTTCATATCTTTCATATTGTGTTAAAATTAGTTCATCTGGGAGAAGAGTTCACAGATATGAAGCACTGTATTATAGTACATATATTCTGGGGATTTGATCTTGACACTGTTTTAATTTGTTATTATAGCCTTGACACCTAAGAGACCTCACCATGCCTTCAGCATCCATAAAATTGTATTAGCTTAGCACTGAAAATCTCTTTCATGGTAGGCAATATAAAATATGTAATTAAACTAGTTTCAAAGGTAAACATGACAGACTAAGGCTTGTAATGCATTCTGGAAAGGTAAGGGAATTCAATGAAGTCTGTTAAGTCAGCATTACGAGCTAAAGCTCACTGAAGCTGCACATGGAGACTGAAACTGGCAGAAAATTACTGCTGGTTTAGTAAGTCCTAAATATTTTTCAGTGGGGTTTGGCATCCTGGGCAGTGAGTTCAACCCATTGCCAAAAGACTTGGTTTTCTTGTAACTTTTCACAGACCCTTCCAAGGATAATAGAAGTCCAAATACCAAGGCTTAAATCTAAACAACAGCATACTCACATCTTAATTGTGAACGAGAGTCTCCATGTAGGATTTGGCACACTTTATTCAAAGTATGTTGATGTTATGCTGTTAGATATTTTATATTAATGTTCTGAATGTTTCCCTATTTATAATCCCCAAAAATGGGAGAAGGGATATCTTGATTAGTTATTTGGGTTTTCACATAAGGAGAACTGAGATGTAAAAATGTAGGACTCAGAATAAAAATCTACATGAAGCTGGTAGGGTAGCTTTTATAATTATTTTTTTTTTCTAAATAAAACCCCAACTTGTTACCCAAACTGACAAGGCAAAAGTGAGGATTAGACTCTCCAAAGTCCTGAGTGAGAAATCAGCCCCCTGACCTCCACACGGAATGTGGACCAACTGAAGTGAGAGAGGACATCTTCAACATTTTGGTAGTAAGGTCTGGTGCTATGGTAAACTATTACGGTTGCTAGTTCTTTGCCCTGTTCTGGTGGGACCTTTTGTAGTTGCTACAATAGCAGGGCATGTAGAGGTTACCATGTGCTGGTCTCTTAGCTTCTG